TTAAAGAAGTGGGGAAAAAAAACCACCTCTGTGTGTTAAGAACTAACGAGAATATACACAAATGCTATCTTACCAAATAGTCATTGTCAGTGAAGACAGAGGAAGTATAAAAAAGCTAAATAAAAGTCTTGATGAAGATTTGCAATGACTAAAGTGAAAAAACTCACAGCTGGATCTCAAAACTCAGATTAGGGCAGGCCAAAGACTTGGTGAAGGGCTGGAGAGATGGCTCTGTGGTTAAGAGCATGTACACACGTACACACGTACACACGTACACACGTACACACATACACACGTACACACACACACACACAAAGACAGCACGGAAAATAAGGCAGCAGACAAACTGGCATTCAGCTAATTATTAAATGCTTTGTTTCATTTTTTGAGACAGGGTCTCACTATGTAGCTCTGGCTTGCCTGGAACTCACTGTGTAGCCCAGGCTGGCCTCAAACTTGTGATCTTCCTGCCTCAGCCTCCCAAACCCTAGGATTACAGACGTGAGCCACCATGCCCATCTGAATGCCCTTCATGCCACTGTATAACACTTTTCAAAATAGCTAAGCCAGTGAAGTTTATGTTAACTTGTATTTTACCACAATGTAAACTTTGGCTGGAGTTCAGTGGTAGAGCATTCGCCTAGCCTGTGGGAGTCCCTGGATGCAGTTCTCAGAGCTGTGGGGCTGGTAGAGAGGGAGAAAGAGGGCTGGCTAGGTCCTCAACTAATAATTCTAACTTTTAAGCTCATACCAAGAAAACAGAAAAAGAAGACACAAGATTTAAACTATCTACCCCAGGTGGAAAGTTGGAAGCAAGCAGCAAATTCTCATAGATTAAATATTAGTCAACATCCAAAGTGCTTCTGAGAACACTTATTAATGTGTAACATGCTCCTGGTGTCAAGCTGAGCTAGGAAAACAAAAGTCAAGCTGCAAATTAATACTAAAATAAAAGGATGTATAGAAGTAAACGATTTTTGACAGGTGGTGGTGTCACACTCCTTTAATCCCAGCACTTGGGACACAGAGGCAGGCGGATCTCTGTGAGTTCAAGGCCAGCCTGGTCTACATGGTAAGTTTAAGGACAGCCTGGGCTGTTACACAGAGGAACCCTGTCTTGAAAAACAAAACCAAACAAACAAAAAGGAAATGATTTTCTAAAGGAAATGTTCCCAAATGTTTTAAAGTTTTTTAAAAATTGACTTCTGTTTTTGTTAAAACTCTGTTTTTCTGGTTTTCTCATTAGAGTACACATTGTATTCAAAGAGAAACTTGTAATTGCTAAAAGACTAAAGCCCCATACCTCATGATAGGCTTCACAAAGGAAATGAAGATGAGAAAGCCAGTCCTGCCTTCAAGACACTGAGGAAGAAGACGGTGGACGTGAGGGATCCAGATCCTTCCCACCTGAGAGATGGAAAGAGATTTTTCCATAAGCATCTAGATGCTAGAGACAAAGCTGACTGCTTAGGTCATGAAAGCAACACAAGGAAGCTAAGGTATCTCCTGAAGGCCATAAAAAGGGTAGCGTTTGAGGTATTGTTCAGCGAACAGAGGAGGCTGATGCTGCAGCCAGGGATCCCAAGCAACAGATGCCTGACTATGAGAGCTGTGTGGAGAACTACAGCAAACCCCATCTTCCTAGGCGCACACCCCCATGTGCTCCTCCTACCATCTCCTCAGCCTTCCCAGGCCTTGCTCTGCAAACACCCAGGGAGGTAGTGAGTGCCACTCTCCTAGTAAATTGCAAGTTGTTCCTTTGTTGGAGAAAGAAGCTCAGGAGGGTTTCCAGAGCCTAAATTATATCCTGGTAAGATGAGGACTGTACCCACCCCTGACACAGCAAGATGCTATTTCCTGGGTCTGTTTACAGCTCTTGTTTTTCTTTTCCCTCTGACTTTAGAATTTACGAAACATCTTAGATGTACATGGATCCATCCCTGTACAGCTATAGTTCCTGTCATCTGCTGCTTTTAAGGTGTGCTGAAGGGAGGGAAAGTTTTCATCTTAAAATGCAAACAGCTTTAAAATGTTAAAATCAGGGGTGTTGCTATGCCTATAATTCCAGCACTAGGGCCGTGGAGGCAGGAGAATCAGGAGTTCAAGGTCATTCTTCTCTATTGCATACTTTATTCAAGGTTTGTCTGGGACACATGAGACCTTAACCTCCCCCCCCCAAAAAATAATAACTTTTCTTACATTTAAAAGCATCATTGGAATCCAAACGCCAATGAATGGAATAAACTTGATGATTCTAAAAAATGATGCTAGCAACTCAAAACCGTGAAATTAAATCTTAAGTCCCACAGGAGACACCGAAGGACACAGATTCGTTGTCCCCACAAACACGGAGCATCTGTGTGCTTTGAGCCAAGCATCGTTCTGGTGGCTAAGAACAGGCATCTTCTGAGCCTTGCTGAAGAGAAGCAGAGGTATTTGGTGAGAAAGAGGCAATCTTTATCTCCAGTACCTCCAAGTATGGCCAGGAGCCCAGTAAGACACGCCAGGCAGCCGGTACACTTGGCAGAGGTGAAGAGAGCCTTTCCATTGGATGCCCAGAGATTTCTGCCCGCCATGGTAGCATGAAAGAAGGGAGCAGAAAGACGGAATTTCTGTAGGCAGCCACAAAAGAAGGACAATGAAGTCAGAGATAGAAATAGAAGTCAAAGCAAGAGAAACGAGACTCCTTCCAGATTAGATTGCATTGCCTGGGTCATCTCTACTCTAGACTTGTCTGGCCTGGAGTCTCTAGGACCTAGGGCAGTTTCTAATGAAGCCAGACGATGAAGAGAGTGGTGTGGTCAAGGGAAGAGGAAGGACCATTCAGAAGCAGAGGTGGAGAAAAGAATGGAGTCTGGCTCCTTGGCTCCTTCACTTTGGCTGCATCTGAGCTAGGTTGATTCTACACCCCAGCCTGCCTTTTTGAACAGTCTTAAGAGATGAGGTGGCAGGAGAGAGACAGACATTTAAGACAATTGACTCTAGTATGGGCAATTTCTAACTAAATATATAAGGAATGCCTATCCTTCGATTGCAGCCCAGACACCCATGGCTGTCACAAGCAAATGATAGCAACAGGAAGCTTGCTTAGGGGCACTGGAGACTGACGCTGCCAGTCAGCCTATGAGACTGGCGTGGCTTCCCCATGTAGCTACAGCTAGAAGGGCGGCCATTACAGCCTCGTAATTTTCTCAGACATTTGCCAAACCCTCAACAATGAGCCACCTCCATGGTTAACCACAGCAAGGACCATGGGGAAGTGATGGGACCAGATTCTGGCTCTGACTCAGCCTTGAGGGAATTTCTCTCCCTCTAGGAAATCCCTAATGACACAGTAGCTCTGCTACATCTTCCAGAGATAGCCAATGCCTGGCGCTCCTCCGAGCCACTGGTCTCTGGCCATGCCAGGAGTGTGCAGAAGAAAGGACAATAGGAATAGCACCTTGTAAAAAAGGCCATGAGATCCTCCAAAATAAAGCGTGAGTCAGAAAATTTCTTCACATCCTCATAGCAGATCATCGTGCAAGATGAAGGTACTCTGGCTGTACAGCCAAGAGAAACCCTCTGCAATATGGTACCAGTGGGAAAAAAAGCAAGTTACAGAACAGACAGCATGATCTTACATGTCTAAAGAAAGCAGACACACCTGCTTGCAAATCCATGGGAGTTTCTGGAGTGTGAGAAAAGAAGCTATCATTTCTGAAGACAGGAGGGATAGAGAGAATTTTATTTTTACCCTATTACCTTCAAACTCTGCTAACTTATGGGATGCTCAGGGACAATGAAAACAAGGAGAAATATAGCACCTCTATGCTAAGCAAATGAGTTAACCATCCCCAAGCTTCAAGCTCTATAAGCTAACACATTTCTTTATTATTAAGGGACTTTTTGTCAGTCCTACTATGGTGCCACCTAAAAATATATATATATATACATATGTATATATATATTTATGTGTTTATGTCTCTATGTAGGTGTGTGCAGGGGCCCCTAGAGGCCAAAGGTAGAATTCCCTTAGAGCTGGAGTTACAGTCTGTTGTGAGCTTCCCAAGCAGGAAGCAGGGAAAGCTAACTAGAAATGATGCGGGTCTTTAAACCCTTGAAGCTTGCTTCCAGTTACATACCTCCACCAAGTCCACACCGCCTAAACTGCCTCAAACAGCGCCACCAACTGGAGACAAAGTGTTCACACAGCTGAGCCTATGGGAGACATCTCACTCAAACCACCACACAAGACTGGAGCTGGATCCCAGCTCTGGCTGGAGGCTTCTAGGGGGAGCTCCTAGACTCACAAGAGAAGGGAGCCAGGGACGACTGCTCACTGCTTTAGGACCCTGCTGCTTCAGAAGTCTGCAAATGCTGTAGCACTCCTTGGAGCTGCACATGCGCTCTGCGGGGGGGGGGATAGGCCCTGACTGGCATACTTGAGGACTTTGAGAACTGTCAGCATGGTAATGGCACCCTGCTGCTAGAGAGTTCAGTAGCATTTTCAGTAAAGTATTCCCAGTCTGTGCTCTTTGCTGTCTGTCTGCTCCATTCTTGGATAAGGGTGGGAGAGAAGCCAGTCTCCACCCAATAACATGTTCAAAAGCATCCCATTCTCCCAGGCATGAGTGTTAGTTGAGGGGTAAGCAATGTCCTAGGCTGTACCAACCAGAACCTTCCCCAAGATTTGGCATCTAAGTCCTGGAAAGAAAATGTTTTCTTTCTCTAGGCTTCTGATCTGTGTAGACAATAAGGACTGGGACCCAGGCAGGTGGAGGTGAACAGAGTTGAGACATGGGGGATGGGGGGTGGGGGTGGGGATGGAACAGAGTTGAGACATGGAGGATGGGGGTGGGGGTGGCGGATGGAACAGAGTTGAGACATGAAGGATGGGGGGTGGGGGTGGGGGATGGAACAGAGTTGAGACATGGAGGATGGGGGTGGGGGATGGAACAGAGTTGAGACATGGAGGATGGGGGTGGGGGTGGCGGATGGAACAGAGTTGAGACATGGAGGATGGGGGTGGGGGTGGCGGATGGAACACAGTTGAGACCATCAGCCGAGTTCCTGGACTCCACCAACCTTAAAACCAAAAGCACCCTCTTGGCCTTCCCATGTGCATAACCAATAAGTCCAATGTCTTAGTCCCCTTCCTATCACTATAAGGAAGTCTCGGAGCCTGAATATTTTATGAAGAAGAGAGGTTTACTCATCTCACGGTTTTGAAAGCCAAGAGTCCATGACTGACGGCCTCATCTGGTCAGTCTCTGGTGAGGGTCTTCTAGCTGTGGATGGGAATGACATCACAGGGTCAGAGGAAGATCACAGCCAGAGAGCGATCACATGGCAAGGGAAGAAGCAGGAGGCATGGAGGGGCCAGGCTCACTCTTTGGTAATGATAGCTCTCATATGGACCAAGTCAGTCCTGAAGACCAGCATTGATGGTGACCACGACCCCATCATTCACCATTGCACCTCACCTCTCACAGCTGCCACCACCTCTCGGTGTTATGATTCTGGGGACCAAACTTCAGGATGATAATATTTTGCTCTGATATAATGATGCTTTTGCAGCGACAAACCGCATCCAGACAAGAGCAGCTGGGCTCTCTTGATGTTTCTCTTGATGTTGCAGCTTTAGAGCTCTTCCCTAATTATTGTCACCATTGTCTCATCAAAGGCTTAACCCCCACTCCAGGACTAGGAATTTCAGTCACGTTCAAGAGCCAAGCAAAGTTTTATATTCTTATTCCGATTGTCATTGCTAAGTAGGAAATCCTATTTATTGTTCAGGAAAAGGAGGTTCAAGGAATTCATTATAAGAGACTACAATTCATCTGCAGCCAATTCTAGAGAAAAAATAATTTCCTAGCCCTTTTCTGTCAAAAAAAAATTATTTATTCTACATCAAAGGCAAGCAGAGTTATCTGCAAAATCAGCCAGGGGAGTGAAAAGAGAGATGCTCTCTGTCCCAGTGACATCGTCATGCTTGGTGCCCACCCCAGATTCTTCACATTCCCAACTAGCTGGGTTTAGTACACTACCATTGCTTATCTCTTATGCAAAAATAGGATCAGCAACTGATTTTGTTAAAGATAGGCTCTTCCCATGTAGTCCTGGGTAGCCTGAACCTCACTCTGTAGACCAAGCTGGCCTTGAACTCAAAGATCTGCCTGCCTCTGCCTCCTGAGTACTGGGATTAAAGGCATGCACGGCCACCACCCGACCCATGTTTAGAATCTGACAATAAGACCCAATATACAAATCTAGAGAATAAAGCTGTCCTTTCCATCACCGAGGGAGGGGAGAGGACACAGGAGGCCAAGGTCAAAGGATACAAAGTACAGTGTATCTCCAGGGATGAGCAAGACCAGTCTTGGAAACTGAGCCGATTGAGCTGCTTCTGTCAAGTGAGGTGGCAATTGTGACAATCATCTGCAGTAACCATCTTACTGTGTACCCAACAGCTTCTTGTTGGAAACCTCTAATATAGGCAATCAAACTTACTTAAACTTAAAAGCAAGTTTTAATAAAGTTTATTTCGAATGAAAATGTAAAGAGTCTTTTGAGACATTATAAAGAGTCAGCCACGGAGGATTGAACCTGTGGTCCCAGCTACCTGAGGGACTGAGGTAGGGGCATCTCTCCTTGGTGGGGCCAACAGTTCAGCAACATAAGGAAGAGAGAGAGAGAGAGAGAGAGAGAGAGAGAGAGAGAGAGAGAGAGAGAGAGAGAGGTGGCTATGACACAAAAGGCCTACTTTTTTAGTGAGATATGGAAGAAAAATCTCCTGGACAATGTGTGGTGGGGAGAGGGGGCAGGGTAAAATGGGTTCAACTCCTAGAGCAGGGGAATGAAGGCAAGGAATAAACTGTGGAAGAGGCCTCTAGTGCAACGGATAGAAGGGAGAAGGAAGCTGTGCAGAGCTGTAATCTGGGCATTCCTCTGCAGCCAGGCCAGAATTCTACACACGTTCCCATTCGCAAAGGCTAAGCCATCTTGGGGGGGGGCTGCAGTTAGAGAAGGAATGTGTCATTCAGATAACAAGTAACAACAACAAAATCCCGTGTCATGCAGATGGGGCATCCTAGAGTCTGGAAGGCCCTAAGATCTCAGAGCCTGAGGTCCTCACTTGCAAGTGAGGGATTGCATAAACAGCCTCTGGGGCCCTTTCGGGACATAAGGACCGGAGTTTATAATAGGTTCCCAGTCTGAGACTCGGGTCCTGCAAATGAGGGGGGAAGAGAGAGGTGCAGTGGGGTTCAGTTTTCGGTCTGGTGGGAAGTACTAAAATATAGAAACTAGAAGGAACTGCTTCTTCATTTGTGTGTTAAAAGCACATAAAGATGGGGTGTGGAGACGGCTCACAAGTTAAGAGCTGGACAGAGCCTGCACCGCGCTGGGTGGACTTTTAGCCTGCAAATGTGTGAAGGAGGTAAACCTCTCTTCCTGCCTCCATTATGCTAATGTGAAATCAATTAACACAGAATTATAGGCAACCCCTAAAAGATCAAAAGTCGGCCAGAAACAGGCAAAGGGCATTAGCCATCAAATTCAAAAAGCCTCAATGGGAATTTTAAAAGATGAAAATAAAAACACGAGAGCCCTAATTTTAGTCTATATGTTGGCAAATATCTAAAAAGCTTGGTAAAACCTAGCATTAGTATTCTAGGATAGGGGTGGGAAGCAGTCTGGAGGGTAATTAGTGAAGACCTATGAAGTTTTAAATACACGTATTCTTTAAGGCAACAATGAAACTCTAGGAATGTCTCCTATAGAGGCAGATGCACACATAGTCACAGACACACGCAGATGTTGACAGTGCAATTGTTCATAATAGGAAAAGACTGGGGGGAAACTCAATATCCTTCAATCAGGGATTGATTAAATAATTATAGGTTCCTCGTATAAGAGAACACCAGGCAGCCACTCCTAAAGGATGCTGTGTCTCCACACGTGCATTCGAAGCCGACTCCAAGATCCTTGATGGGGTGAGAAGGCGGCGAGGATGGTGCAGTTTGGTAATGTGGAGGGCTTAAAAGCAGGCTACAAACTTTTGTTCTGGGAGAAATCCAGTGGAGGTCTGGTTAAGGAGCGAACTACTTGTCTGTGCACTCAATTTCCCGTTTTATTTGAGAGAGAGAGAGAGAGAGAGAGAGAGAGAGAGAGAGAGAGAGAGAGAGAGAGAGAGAGAGAGAGAGAGAGAGAGAGAGAGAGAGAGAGAGCGCACGTGCACGCGTTCCCACTCAAGTCAGAGGATAACTTTCCTGGAACGGTTCTCTCCTTCCACTATGTGGGTTCATGGGGTCAGCTAAGATTGTCAGACCTGGTGGCGGTGTCTTTTACCCACCGGGCCTGCAGCCAGCTTTCAATTTGCCATTTAAAAAAAACTAGCCAATTAGAATGGAGAGAGGGCTTAGTCATTGAGAGCACTTGCTGTTTTTGCAAAGGACATAGGTTCGGGTCCCAGCACCCAAATGGTGGCTGACAACCCACTTCAACTCCAGGTCTAGGGGTTCAGTGCTCTCTTCTACCTCCCATGGCACCAGGCACACTCAGGCACAGACATACATGCAGGCAAAACACTCATACACACATGAAAGAAAAAATATCTAATTTTTAAAACAAAATTTTAGCAAACATTGTTAGGATCACAAAGGTCCATTCAAGCAACGAGCACGCGTGAAAACCCAAATGATGGGGGCTAACCAGCGAGGAAATGTATTTAACCAAATAAAATTGGCATCGTAGGGATGAAGAGTAGATAGAGCAATGGACTGGAACCTCACCCGTGCCCACTCTGGAGGCCAGCCTGCCCAGCGCCCTGTGCTTCCCAGGCCCACGCAGGGTCCTCGGCGCCGGCTTTCGGATTCTGAGGGCGGGCTGGCGGTGCAGTCTCTGGGACTAGCGATCTCGTGCAGGCTTTGCTGCAGCCGCCCCGCCCTCCCCATCCCTCCCGGGTCGGGCTCTTTCCCGAGGCCACAGTGCGACCCAGCGGGCCGCGGGGAAACTGCGCTAGCCCGCCCGCCACCGGGGACACCCAGAGCCAGCCCGGTGTGTTTGCCAAATGAACGCTGCCAGACCTGATTATCTTTCTTGCTCTCTCCCTTCTGATGATGTGGGTGAAAACCAAAGTTGTGGAACATTCTGGTGACTTAGGGGTTTCCGATTTACATTTTCACACTTTTGATAGCTTGTGAGGCCAAGAAAAGAACCGTGACTTTTTGTTCAAGGCAAAATCTATTTATATAATCGTGTAAGCAGACTCAGCCTAAACTGCCTGCTTCTGCATTTAGCCTTTTATACAGACAGAAGAGTTCCTGGATTGGGGAAACAGAAAACAGAAGTAATGTGTCAACACAACACTCACTCTCAGATTTTACATCATTTGATTGAGTGAACATCGAATGACTAACACTGTGTAAAATGATGTGCCCTTGTCCAACGTGCCAGTGTTGTACAATGGATTCCCCTTTGTTAGACCCACATGTGTTAATAATATATAACCTGATCATAGAGTGGAAACACATTTACAAGGGAAAGTGTCCTCAGAAAGTAAGATTCAGGTTTTAGGTGTTGGTGGCCAACTTAAAAATGTCAGTAGCATATTAACTAAATAAATGGGGGAGAAACGTCTGTGCACACAGTTAAATCCATTTGGTTACAGGTAAAGTTTAAACGTGTGAAATAAGGTGATCATTTGAAATACTGCTTTCCTTCTCTCTCTTTTGTTTAAGACCATGCTGGTCTTGAAGTCACTGTATAACCCATGCTGGCCTGGAACTCCAGGAAATTCTCCTGCCTCACACCTCCTGAGTGCTAGAATTACATGTGCCACCATGCCCAGATTTTTTTTCTTTCAATGTTTAAGGATTTATTTGTATGTGTATGTGCCTGCAGGAATTTGTGTGCCATATGCCTTCAGGAGCTTGCAGAATTCAGAAGACAGCATCAGATCCTCTGGAACTGGAGTTACAGACTGTTGTGAGCTCACGAGGGTGCTAGGAACTGAACCCAGGTCTTCTGCAAGAGCAGCAAGTACTCTGAACCACTGACCCATCCATCTCTCTGCTCATCCCCCTTTTGTCTTGGTTTTTCAAGACAGATTTTTGTGTGTTGGGGGGAGTGTATTTGCTCTGTACACCAGGCTGGTCTTGGACTCAGAGATCTGCCTGCCTCTGCCTCCCAAGTGCAGGAATTAAAGGTGTGCATGCGCCACCACTATCTAGCTCCCTTACTTTTAAAAAATTATGTGTATATCTATGTGCAGCATGTACATATGAATGTAGGTGCCCTAGGAGGCTATAAGGTATCTGATTGAATGCTCTGAACCACTGAGCCAGCTCTCTAGTCCCCTTTAAGAAGCATTCCCTATGGCTTACTACTTTTATTTCCAGTTTTTTTCTAATCTGTGTATAAGGCTGTAATTTAATCCTAACCATAATGACATAAACTTAAAGTTTAAAAACTTAAATTTTTAATTGCCCCATAGTTCAGATCTGACACAGTCACTGGCTGTATTGACCAGTTCCAGCCTGTTATCAATTATTAATTTACAGCAACCTGCATTGCCTGCACGTAAAGGCCACACCCTGCTTCAACCAATGAGCCCTTACTGCAGAGAGCACAGGTCTGTCCTCTGGCTAGTTTAAGTGAGACACTTATGACAGGGCACCCTAGAACTTCCAGGGTCACTCATCTGGGGAGCGATTGTCAAGACACGTACTCTAGGCTGAGCTTTCAGGGACAATCCCAAGGCCTCGGCAGAAGACTGGCCCCAAAGTGAGATGGTCCAGGGCAAATCTGCCTCCATCACATGTGCCCATGTAAAACAGCGCCACCTACGTGGCACCCAGGAGGCTGCTAGCACAGTCAGGATGCTGCAGGCTCGAGGCATCTCTGCCACTATACGCAAAAACAAACACCTCTTCTCAAAGGCGGAGGATAAGCATGTGTGCCCGGGTGTTAAAAATCTAAAGTGTAACCAACAACCCAGAAGACAGTGTTTAGCGTGCCATCCTCTATGAAATAAAACTCACTCAAAGAGTCAGGATAGATGGGCCATCTGTGTTCTAGCCCACACTCCCAAGAATGTAATTTTTGTGTTACAGTTATGAAGTAGCAACAAAAGTAATTATCTGGCTGGGGATCCCCACAGCATGAGGAACTATATTTAATGGTCACAGCATTGGGAAGGTTAAGAACCCACTACTCCAGAACTTAACTTTATCTCAGTGTTTGGACACAGTGTGATTGTTCTGTGAGTAGCTTCTGTTGCTGTTGAAGGAGTGTTGGGGCTGAGGAGATAACTCACAGAGGAAAATGTTTGCCTTGCAAGCACAAGGGCCCAAATTCAATACCCCAAACCCACTAAAACCAAGGAGGCACTGCAGTGTATGCTTGCACTGGGAGACAGAGGGGCAGCTATTTGGAGCTCCCTGGCAAGTGAGTTTTATGGGCATGTGCATCTGTTTCCTACGATTGCTATGTCAAGTTGCCACAAAGTGGGTGGCTTAACCCACATAAATGTATTCCTCTATATTCTAGATGCTACGGGAGAGCCCTCCCTGAGCCTGTTTCTCGCTGTGTCCTTGGCCTGCAGTCAGGCATTGAGATCTCCACCCCATCCTCATATGATCTGTCTGTCTCCTAACTTGGCTTTGCATCTGTTCTCCCTTTACTTCTCCGTTCTACATTCACTTGTCAAGAGATATGGTCCCCACTTGGATAATCCAACGTGATCTCGCCTCACATCCCTTATTCACATTTGCAGTGTCTGTTTCCGAATAAGGTCACATTGGAAGGTCCCAGAGATGAGCTGTTAATGTATCTTCTGGAACCCATTGTTCAACCCATAACAGCAAGTGGAGGAAATGCTGAGCTAAAGGAACTAAGCTGCCTTCTTTGCTGCAGATTTTGAGACCTTTGGTCTTTAGGATGTGTCTTATGGATCTGTAAGCATGAGCTGCGCTGCGCAGTAATCCCCAAATCCATCCAGCTACAGATTCCCCCTTACAGGAGTGATGTTCTGCAAAACACAAAACGTTTTCTGGAATAACCTTGGCTATGCCTTGGTTTTAGACCCCAGCCTCCAGAATTTTGAGGCAACAAATTTCTATCTTTTGTGTCTGTTTGTTTGTTTGTTTGTTTGAGACAGGGTTTCTCTGTGGCTTTGGAGTCTGTCCTGGAACTAGCTCTTGTAGACCAGGCTGAACTCACAGAGATCCGCCTGCCTCTGCCTCCCGAGTGCTGGGACCAAAGGCGTGCGCCACCACCACCTGGCTAATTTCTATCATTTTTAAACTAGCCACCCAGCGTGTGACGTTTTGTTATAGCATCATAGGTAACTAATATAATGTCCCTCATTTTTTAAAATGCTTGGGGGCTGTGTCTTGTAGAATGCTCACCTGTGACTTCAAATGGAAGGGATCTGACAGACTCTTCTAGTCTCTAAAGGCAGCTGCATGTGTGTACATCTCCCTCACACCCCCACCACCCACACACACACACACACAACACCTATACACAATTCAAAAATAGTTTTGTTGTTTTTTTGAGACAGGACTCTGTGTACCCCTGGCTGTCCCGGAACTCACACTGTAGACCAGACTGGCCTCGAACTCAGAGATCCACCTACCTCTATCTCCCCGAAAATAAAATATTTTTTAAATGCTCCAGTAATCCCAATTAAACTCAGTGAGTCCCATGTGACAGATGGAGAGAAGTGAGTCCATCAAGTTGTCCTATGGCATCCACATGTGATTGATGGCACACACTGATCTGTACCCCAAGTCACCCCTCTCCTGTACACACACACACAAAAAAGTCATAAAAATTCAAAATTAGCTGGGCATTGGTGGTGCGCGCCGTTAGTCCCAGCACTCGGGAGGCAGAGGCAGGCGGATCTCTGTGAGTTCCAGGCCAGCCTGGTCTACAGAGCGAGTTCCAGGACAGCCTCCAAAGCCACAGAGAAACCCTGTCTTGAACCCCCCCAAATTTAAAAATAATAAATTCAGTGGGTCACTTAACAAAACTTAAAAGTAGGAAAGGATTATTGTGGAGAAAAAGGTGTTCAGAAGGAACAAGGGCGACGTGCTCTGAAAGAACATGATCAAAATATATGATTGTATGAAGTTGTAAAAGCCGGAATATTTTAAGTATTTGTTGCTTTTTCAATTATTCCAATCTCCACCCCGGTTATTTGCTACTGTTGAGAACATAAAAGAAGTCTATATTGTGGGGAGCTGCCCCCACATTCTCCGTTACAAGATGGCGCCGACACCCGTTGTCAGTTGGAGTAAACAACCTTGGTGCGCACGTGCCTGCTACTTTTCCATCCCTTACTCTCTGCCTCTCCCGTGGCGTCATATGGGCTGACGAGCAGGAGCCAGTCAGGAGATGACATGTCCCGAGGCGGGGACTGCTGAGCTATATAAGGGTTGGGCTTTTCGCTCCCCGGGTCTCTGCTCTGTAAGCTTATGCTCTCCCTCTCAAGACGCATTAAAGCTGTTCTGCAGAAGGATCCTAAGTGTGCCGCGTCGTTCTTGCTGGCGAGACGGTAGCGCGGGACACTATATATCTCAAAAAACTGTAACTACAATTTGTTATTAATTAGTTTTGCTTCCATGTGCCCCAGAGTACCTGAGCCATGACTTACAAATGTCATCACCCTAACTGTCCTTTGACGACTGCCGGTTTGGGAGAGAAAAACTACAAATAAGCCTGGGATATCTTTTTGAATCTGAAAGCAAAGCAATGTTTAAAGACCAGTCAGGAAATGTCAAAAAGTTACAGGGCCCAGCTGTCCAAACCTGGGACAATGGGAGAAAAGTGTGTTAGTTATAATGTAATAATGATAGCAACGGATTATAGCACTATAATTGTCTTTAAAACAAAACAGAACTACT